TTTCCTAAATGGTCACTTGTGTTTTTATGGCCAGTTTGTCAGCGGTTATCTGCGCGCGGCGGAATTAGAGCCGATAGTGAGGCCAATGCGGCGCTCGGACCCGACCCTCGCCCTCGGCAGGGGTCGTTCGTCATGTACAGGGGCGCTCCGGTCGAGAAGTCGAGTCAATCTCGTGTCGGAACGCCAGCCGCCCGCCGGACAGATAGCGGAAATGGACTGACAGTGAAACCACCCTAAAACAGGAGCATGTGACTATTCGCTGCCCGGATGGTGCTGGTTTTATGCATGCTATCCATTTTACATTTGTTTTTCCCGTGACACAGCGGCGCATCTGCCCATACCATTGTTCTCTTCTGTTCCCCCATTTGTCTTTCTGCTTCGGTCGTTGAGGGCTAGAGTAAGTAATCGGCTCCCGTTATTGGACCGCGTTTCGTTCAAGGCCGTGTCGCTGAAATGCTGCAGGAAGGTAACCTCACTGTGTCAATGCTTTCGCTTCTATTTTTATCCGTGATAGTATCAAGATGCTTGTGGAAGGCTGAATATTCCAAGCTTTTGTGTTTAAGTTCTCGGCCATTGTTCATATGCGTCACGATAGATTGCCAAGGTGAATGAGCAATGGCTAGTGTAATCGCTCTATGCGGAGTGCAAGGTATATTAAAGTCACTGAATGCACCATAGACAGATTTCAAATCAGTCCCACAAATCAAAAATAAAGGGTCGTCCGATCCACGACAGTTGGCGCTCATTTCGAACCGATCGCCCCCTGTTCAGCAGCTGCTTCTGAACGCTTCGGCTGGCAGGCTAGGAATGCCCAGACTGTCGCTGATGGAGATATCACCATCCGTTTTTTGTCCCCCACAGACCCGTCGCTGGCCTGTTGTCAGCCGGCGCGAGGGACAAACAATCAATACGGGTTGTGTTAATCAGTGCAGCTTTGGGTGACAGGCGCGGAAAAAACAGCGCGCTGCGCTTTCCCCTCATCTGGCTAAAAAGAATAATAACCGAGATAATGAAGGTGGATAGAGCTATGACCGATGGTCGCTTTCCCCGAGGAGGGAGATAAAACGTCGACGTCGACGCTCGTCGCCTGGGACGCGGAGGGCGGGCTGCGACGCCGGGTCACCTTCCCGTCCTGTGGTCCGCGTTCAGGAGCTTGTGGCAGGATATTACCACGGGATAGAAACGAATCTAGGCGCATGAAAAAGTTGTTTAAAATGTAAAGCTCACTCCTCAGTTACCAGCAAGCTTTAACCGGCTCTAAGAAACGCTTGGGATGTGACCAATTGGAATAAGACAGTTTCCGCTTGCACTCATGTAAGCAAAGACGATATATTGAAGAGGGTGAATATGGCATTGTATCAAACAGGAAATTCCCCTAGAGCGCCTTTGGCTTTCCAGCCGTTTTCAATGATTCTCATCGCACGCATGACCTCCAAAAGGCATCCTGAAAGGCCGAAGAGCTTGATTCTGCTTGCCAAGGTGCGGCGAAGCCTCTGTCGCCCCAAATGTCACACAATTATAGTAGCTTACCGGCGACATATTCTGACAACAGCTCACGACCGTACACTAACCATCAAGGAATTCAAACGTAACGTTACAGAAAGCATCACACTCTGAAGTGGTACAAAGCCTCCAAAGCACTCCGTCCTCAAACCCGCCTACCTTCTAGATCTGCGCACATGCCCCTCCTCACTACAATCCATCCCGGGAGCCCTGCCACCGACCCCGGCCCCGGCCCGACCCCAGCCCCGGCCCCGACCCCAGCCCGGCCCCAGCCCCAGCCCCGGCCCGGTACGCCCTCGCACACGGCGTCATGCCCTGTCCGTCTATTGATACAGCGCGCGGCCCGGCCAGCTCTGCCGCCGCCGGCGTCTATCGAGCGGACGGGCAGCCCGGAGGCCTGCGGGTCACCAGCACCCGACCCACCTGAGCATACATGCGGGCCCCGCTCGGCACGTGCGCCCCCCCCCCCCCCGCAGCCTCACACACCTGGCGAGGTAACGGTGACGAGGTGACGTCCGCTCCGCTGGCGGACAGGGGACGGGTGGACCGGACGGGGCCGGGGGCTCGGCGAGGAGACCCGGCGCTGGGGCGAAGGCTTTGGCTGTTGCGAAGAGCACGTGGTGAACGGTGCGACGTTCTGTTTCTCTGACAGCAGGATTTCGAGGGGGAGGTTTAACGCACCGACGTCCTCTAAAGTTAGTTGTTACACATGTACACATAGTCTGTGAGGAGCAAAACTGTCATCGTGCCCTGCAATCATTTGGAACTGCAGCGGTCTCAATTCAGAGCCGACCGTCACAAATACTTCTGTCACGGCGGGGAGGCTTGAAATGGCGTATGGGCGTCATCAAGAGCAAGACTGCAACATGTGTTCAGATTAGGGGACGAGTCTGATCCTAGCCCGGCTGGCACTTACAACGGTAGATAATCCAGAGACTTGTCAGTTTTGTAACAGCAAGCGACTTGCACGATGGCGTGAGCTGCCAGTGTTGCACTGGGCCAGTGGCATGCGAGAGGAGGCACGCTTGCATGATCCCAAGTCACGTGACACACTGCTGATGGAATGCTGCCAAGTCATAGTTCTGTGTTTATCTTTTGGTCAGCCGATAACATACCCACAAGCCAGTGGTTTGAGCAGCTGTGGCAGGGCGCCCCAGGTTCCCAAGTCAGTGACCGCCGTCTCCCTGATGAGACCCTTGTCGGTGGCCCCCGTCCTCGTGGAATGATCCTGGGTCAGATTCCCTGCCTCGTGGCGTGATCCCTGGGTCAGCGGTCCCTGACCCTTCAGCTTGATCCCTAAGTCAGCGGTCCCCAACCCTTAAGCTTGATCCCTGGTTCAGCGGTCCCCGTCCCTTTAGCTTGATCCCCAGGTCAGTGGTCCCTGTCTCCACCCCCGGCGTGATCCCGGGTCAGCCCGGCCGTTGCGGTGGCGCATCTTGTTTCTGCTCGGGACGGCGCCGACGGGCGCAATCTCGCTGATGGCCCAGGCGAAGCTTTCGATGATGGATGACCAGCGGCGAGACGCAGCCGCCAGATGGAGCCTAATGATCACCGCCCCCCCCCCCCCCCCGCCTCCTGCACCCGGGGGCGGAGGGGAGGGGAGGGACAGCCGCTGCCTCTGCAGGCTTTCATTGATGCGCCCGGCAGCAAGAAAAAGCTCGGAATGTAATAGCTGTATGATGCATAACAGAACAACCATCTGAGCCGGCGACGCTCCTCTCTGGACGGAGGTTCGCGCTGAGGGGCGGGGTCCCACACCTGCTCGCCTGCGGCCCCTCCCCGCTGGACTGTGTCTCTTAAGAAGGCCATCGGGAGGCGTGGGAGAGGGCATGTTGCCCATGGCTTGTAACGATGAGGTGCGAGATGACGCACTAAACACCTAGTCACCTTCCACCTGGCCTCCCAACAACACCATGCCTAGTTCAATACCGAAGGCGTTTTCTCTGACTTTTGAGCAAAGCGAACTGCAGAAAAGCATTTTTGCGTTTGGCATTGGTTCAACACATCCATCTAATGCCAGGTAACCTTCTATGGTCCAATATTGGCTGCTCTTTCAGATAACATATGAGCGTTTTGTTCTGCAGTTCGTCCGTCCCTGTCCGCGTTTCGCTCTCTGCTCTCAGGGCCGTCGAGACGACCGATACAGTATCGAAATTTTATCTCAATCTGGTCTGATACGTAAATCAGCTTTCTAAATGTCCTCTAGGCGCCCAACTTCGATAAATAAGGCAAGCACGACACGGTGCTCCATGACAAGGCAATGGCAAGAGCAAGTGCTTAGAGCTGGAGCAATGGCAAGTGCTTCAAAAAC